TTGAACACTTGTGGGTTTTCACAATATTTTTACTATTTAAAAGGCAGTGTGAGACACATATTTATGAATTAAACTTTCTTCCACAAGACTATGTCCTTATATTGGGAATCCCGTAAGTGGCTCTATTCCATGTCTGAACACTGCTAGAGATCACATCAAACTCCATTCTAAAATGACTAAAAAAATACATTATCAGAAGCAATGTAGATACGACATTAAAATCATTGAATATTATTTTTAAAAGGTATTGCTACAATTGGTAAGTTACAATCATATTTTAATATGCATCCTTTGATTCTTATGAAGTTAAATCACTTTCCATATATTTGTCAACTAACAATTTTACCTTCTACAACCGTTGCCCAACATGAATAATAGTACCTGGTACACAGTAGGCACTCAATAACTATGTGTTGAATGAATTAATGTGTCTTTTGGGCTGTCTTACTTTGTATTTGTTTCCTTTTTTTTTTTTTAAGACAAGAAAAAGGATATCAACCCTTTGTATAATTTGGGATAAATATTTGTCTCACGCTCTTTCATAATAAAATTTGGAATATGCTTTCTCAACCAATTACAGGGAAGACAAAAAACAATTTATCTTTTAAAAAACTGACTCAGGATAATCCTTTATCATACAAAGTATTGAGATTCATCCTTTTTTTTCCATATTGCAATTTTCCATTAAAAAGTTTTTTCAAGTGGTTTCAATTGATATTTTAACATACTTAAGTATTTTTAAAATTACAACTTCATAGTATAAGCTAATAAATAACAAAATTATAATTTCCCATATCTCTAAGATCTCCAGTAATTACAAGGTTAGAATTCTGTGAGGTAAAATATGAATTATAATAATTTCAATATGAGAACTGCATTCCGCTTAGGAAAGAAAGAATGTAACTAAAAAGAAAAAAAAAAGCTCAAATATTTTATTTTGAATCTTGATTTAAATGTGGCTTCAGAGTTAAAAACTGTGATTCTCTTAAGAGAGCAGAGTCAATCAAACTAAAGCTTTCCACAAATTTATACTGTGAGAAGCGCACTAAGCTATTCCTGTCAGCAGTAGAATGATTCTCCATCACAGACTCCCATTCGACTCAGAGGCAGGACTGACAGCAACCCCAACCTTTTTCCACACAGTTTACTGGGTTTCTAACAAACTGACCAATGACACTTCCCCTTGTAAAGAGAACAGACCCGTCCACGTCAACAACTCACTAATGCTGGATTTTCTCCCAGACATGTCCAACCTATAAAGCCAGAAGGTATAGATCAGGCTGTATGGCTTCAATATTTCTAAAAGATTTTCTTTTATATATACATTTGGAAATTTTATTTATAATATATGCGGTTAATGTATTTTACATTTAATTTTAACATAATATTCTAACACATTTTATATTCCAACATATAATTCTATTAAAAGTCTCTTCTCAAAAACAAAACTTAAAAGAAATGTATAGACCCACTTCAAACCTGACCACACCACACTTTATCACGATGCCGCATCCACCCTGAGGGCAACACAGTTGACAACTGAGACACTAGGAACCAAACCTTTGGGGTCCTCTAATGGAGTGCGAATTTGCGGAGAGCTTTAGTTTTCTTCCTGGCAAGATTTCTCTTCCCACAGTGTTCTTGTTAGCATTACTTTCCCCATAGCTCTGCCAGGGTTTCTATCAGCAAGAATTTCTTGGCAGTTAACTCACAATTTCCACCCACCAAAAGAAAGTGAAAGAACCAAAGGCAACCAGCTACTTGAGAATTTTAAGGTTGTTGTCCACCATGGAGCCATTTGACCGATTAAATTTCCATGCTGCTAAATGTAAGAGAAAGCCCCAAATCCATTAGAGCCCTAAACTAATTTTCGTGTGTTTTGGATACAAACACTATTCCTATATCTATCTTAAGGTTTAAGGGTTGACAATGAAAATCTTAGTTTTTGTACATTTCGATAAAAATCTCACTTCATAAAAACTAATCTCTGGTTTGCAAAGAATCATACTATTTGCTCCTTAGTGTTTTAGTAAATGCTATTTTAAAAATAAGAGAACAAGTTGTCCCCAAATAACTAAGGGATATGTTTCGAAGACTTAATAAGTAGCATCTGTACATTATTTTAAATTTTTAACTGCCTTCTTACACACACATTTCCTCTTTTGATCAGTATGGCAACACCATGAGGTAAACAGGAAGGAATCATCCATGTTTCAGTTGAAGAAGCCCAGCACACACAGTTTAAGTGTCCAAGGTCACGCAAGTAGAAAATGAACTAACCAAAACTTAAAACACACGTTTTCTGTGTCTCTCATACCACACTGACTGTGTGGTAGTTGGAGCTTGGAACTTGAAATCTATCTTCCCATAAAAGTAATATTATATATGGTGGTTGGAGTCCAGACTAACCCACAAAGACTTTTAATTCACAAAGTCTGAACTACTGGAAAGTGGTATAATATACTACAGAGCTAAAAATGGATTCCTGTGGAGTGACTTGAGCCCTTAACTTGCTCGAATAACATCATTTCTTCGGTAAGAAATGTACCATATACTGCAGAGAAAAGATCTCTGTTCATATAAAGGATCACCAATCTTCCCAATGGCCTTCCTCTGAAGCAGCAGCTGTACCTTG